GGCTGCTCCTCTCTCCTCTGTGTCCCCATGGCCCTGCGGAGCCTTTGCAGCCCGGCACAGCAGGAGCGTCCCTGCCCTGACAGGGGGCTCTGAGCTCCCTCCCAGCCCCCTGAGCTCCCTCCCAGCCCCATCTCTCGGGGGTTCAGTGTCCCAGGGGAGCCGTGGCCGTTCCTCTGTCCCTGCCGGGCTCACCTTGAGCGGGGGCACCCGCGGCACCGCCGGCCCCGCGCCAGGAAAGGGCTGGTTCCGAAAGGCCTGGGGCTGCTGCTGCTGCTGCTGGCAGGGCTCAGCCACCCGCGGCTTCTTCTCAGGGGTGCCTGGAGCCTCCTCCCTGCTCTCCACCTTCCTCTTGAGGGCCTCCACACCCACCTCCATGGCCTCGCTGCCGCCGGGTTTCTTCTCCGCCGTGTCCGGGGCTGCCGCGGGGCTCGGTGCCTTCGCTGCTCCTTCAGCTGCCTCGGGGCTCTTTGGTTTGCTGGGGGCACCCGGAGCCTCCTTGCCTGGCCCAGCCTTCCTCTGCTCCTCCGGCTGCTGCCTGCAGCCACCGAGGGGTTTTTGGGGCACGCTTTCCTCGGGGGGTCTCTCTCTGTCACCGCCTCTCACCGGGGACGCCTCGGTGGCCTTGGCCGCCTTGGGCTGTGGCTCCTCTCTGGCCTCCTGTGCTGCTCTGTTGGCTGCTGGCCCCGGGGCTGATTGTGGCCTGGGCTCCGCCGGGGCCGGGCCCTGGGGCCGGGCTGGGCCCGGGGGGCTGCGGGCCCGGGCGGGCTCGGCCTCGGGCTGTGCCGTCAGTCGCTCCGACTCCTCGGGGCTCAGCCCAGAGCTGCCAAAGGAAACACAGGCTCTGCTTTGGAAAACACCCCTGCCAAACCATCCTGTCCTCAGGGAAAGGCAGGCAGGATTCTCGAAATGAACTCCCTCAATAAGTGTCTCACACACCCAGTTCTGTGCCACCATCACTTCCCTACTGACAGTCCTTCCACAGGAAGCAGAGATCAGCATCAAGGATTAAAACCAGCTAAATGCAGCACATGGAGCACTGGGCAGCTCCACACACCAGTTTTCCAGGCTGCAAATCCAAAGAGTTTGGCCAACGGTGAGTATTTCCCTGCATGAGCCCCCACAGCCCCCTCTGCAACCCCAGCTCGTTTGTGACACTGGCAGGAAGGGACACAGAAGGGTCCCACCAGCCCCTGACAGGAGCAGGGAAGGTAATTCCAGAATGATGTCTGGGAAAAGTGACTCCTTTTGGACTAACTCCATCCCTCCATCCCTCTCAATGATTTGTCAAATTGTTTTTTTTCCCCCAAACATAATCCTGAGAAGGTCTGGTGAATCCATGGATTGGTTCCCACCAGACAAGTCCTCAGGAGCAGGAGGGATGAGGTCCTGCTCTCACACACGTCCCCTCCACGCTGTCCTGCTGTCCCCTGTCCCCCCAGCGCTCCAGGACTGGGGCTGTTGTCACCTTCCCACGAGCACACACCTGGGGCAGGGGCTGATGAAGCTTTTTATGAGCTGCACTCTCAGCCTGGTGTATCCCTGGAGTTGTTCCTACAGCCCCTGGCTCACCCACAGCATCCCAGGGAATGCCTGGAATAACCTGGATGCTCTGCAGGGTTAAATCACCCTGCAGGGATGGATGGATGGATGACAGACAAAAACCCGGCACAGTGCAGGATCAGAAATTCCTGATCACTTATTTCCCTGTGTGTGCTCCTTTCCAGGTCTCTGTCACTCCCTCAGAAACCCCAAATCCTCCCTGCAGCCCCACAGGATGGGAAAATCCTGAAGCAAGAGGAGGCACAGAACAAAAGCTTTGCAGATTTGGGGGTTTACCCAGTGGGGTGGGATTGGAGATGTGGGAATGCAGGTGCTGCCCCTGGGGTGGCTCCAGGTGAGGGGAGCCAGGACACCTGCACTGGGTAAGGGCTGAGCAAACACCTCACACCTGCCCTGGATCCTGCTGGCATCTCCAGCTTTCCTGGGACCAGAAACCTTCCCCGGGCTCAGGGCTGATGGAATGCAGGGCTCAGGGAAGGGGCACCCAGAGCAGGGCTGAGCTCTCACCTCTGCCCATAGTAGCTCTCAAAGAAATGCTCCTTCCACAGCTCCACCTTCTTCTCCTTCTCCAGCTCCTGCCGGATCCGCAGCTGCATCTCTGGGGTGAACTCTCCTGTGGGATCCAAAAGGGATTTCTGAGACAGGCCAGGGGTGGGTGATGGAGCCCCCAGAGCTGCACCTGCCCCCAGCCCCAGCCCCAGCCTGAGCCCCAGGGGCTGCTCCAGAGCAGGGAACGGAGCTGGGCAGGGGCTGGAGCCCCAGGAGAGGCTGAGGGAGCTGGGAAAGGGGCTCAGCCTGGAGAAAAGGAGGCTCAGGGGGGACCTTGTGGCTCTGCACAACTCCCTGACAGCAGGGGACAGCCAGGGGGGGTCGGGCCGTGCTGCCAGGGAACAGGGACAGGAGGAGAGGGAACGGCCTCAGGACCCTGACAGGGAAGAATTTTCCCCCAATATAAATCCCCCCTAAACATCCAAAGGGATGGCTCAAGGACTGGGCACCCTGTTCTCTGCTCTGGAACTGAATTTCCCTTCTCTGTCCCCTCAGCAGTGTCTGTGTTTAGGTGCCACAATTCCAGAATGCCCCAGCTCTACCCAGTTCACAACATTTCAATTTTCCCTTCTTTTCTCATCAATTCCAGAGATTTGCTGTGTCAGTTCAGCACAGAACTCCTTGTGCAGCCCCCTCTGAGTGTGAGCCCCCAGATCTGGGCTTGCCTTGGCTCCCACGCCTGCAGGGAATGCCTGCACATCTGCAGCAATTTCCCCTGGGCTTTCCCCAGCCACTGCCCAGCCGTGGGGTGTGTGTGGTGTATGGGTTGTATGGAGTGTGTGGGGTGTGTATGGTGTGTGTATGGGGTGTGTATGGTGTGTGTGTGGGGTGTGGGGAGGTTTTACCTTCTGACAGCCTCTCCTTCCAGCCCTGAGCAGCCGATGTGAAGAACTCGTTGTTGAGAGCGGAGCTGCTGAGCTTCATCAGCCCATCGGCCCCGACCTGGGAGAGACACAGCCCTGGGCACCTGCTGGCCACGCCCCGCTGGCCACACCCTGCTGGCCACACCCCGGGCACCTGCTGGCCACACCCTGCTGGCCACACCCCGGGCACCTGCTGGCAGGGCCAGTGTCTCTGGGCACAGCCCGAGTTCAGCAGTGCCCACATCCCTGGGGACCCTGCCTGCAGTCAGTCAGGACAAGGCTGAGGGAGCAGGTTCTGTGCCCAGCTCAGGTTCTGTGCCCAGCTCAGGTTCTGTGCCCAGCTCAGGATTTGGTCTGACTTGGCCAGAATAAAGCAATGCCTCAGTGGGTGACACTGAAAACTTGATACTGGGGGGGGTTTATTTCTCCCACAGTTCAGGAGGATTTGGGAACATTCCCACCAGCCCAGTGATCCCAGCCCCAGTGTCCAGCCTGGCCTTGGGCACTGCCAGGGATCCAGGGGCAGCCACAGCTGCTCTGGGCACCCTGTGCCAGCCCTGCCCACCCTGCCAGGGAACAATTCCTGCCCAAGATCCCATCCAGCCCTGCCCTGGGGCACTGGCAGCCATTCCCTGTGTCCTGTCCCTCCAGGCCTTGTCCCCAGTCCCTCTCCAGCTCTCCTGGAGCCCCTTCAGGTCCTGGAAGGTCACAGCGAGGTCACCCTAAGCTGGATTTTCTCAGGGCACCACAGGGAGAAGGGGATCCCACCTGGAGCTGCTCCCTGCCTGTCCCAGGTGAGTGCCCAGGTGAGAGCCATACCTGCCTGCCCCAGGTGAGTGCCCAGGTGAGTGCCCAGGTGAGTGAGGGCCATACCTGCCTGCCCCAGGTGAGTGGCCAGGTGAGTGGCCAGGTGAGTGAGGGCCATACCTGCCTGTCCCAGGTGAGTGGCCAGGTGAGTGAGGGCCATACCTGCCTGTCCACGTCGGGCAGCAGCAGCAGCAGGCGCTGCTGGCACTCGGGGGGCAGCACACTGAAGGTGTGTTTGTTGATCAGAGCCCTCAGGTTGGTGTTGACCAGGATGGAGTCCGGGGTCTCCACATCGATGTCAGCACAGCGTGCTCTCTTCAGCTGCCCTGCCAGGACACCACACCTGCTCCAGCTGGGACCTGGCACCTCCTGGGCTGCCCCTGCCCCACAGGAGCCCTGCCCTGCACCCTGCACAACGCTGCAGTGGTTTAATTGCACCACCTAATTAATGGCTTGTCTTCATTTCCCTCTGCCTTCACTCAGAGTCAGGATTAAAACACAAAGGAGATGAATTTTCTCGTGCTCAGACTTGGTTGTTTATTAAATCTTATTTAAAGTACAGAGAGTTCTGCAACACTTCCAGCTACCAGCTAAAATTGAGCAGAATGGAGGAGAATTTAGTTAGAATTTAGTTACAAGGTCTTTTAAAGCTAAACAGTCCAATAGAGAATTAACACCAATATTATTATTATATTATTACCTATATTATTTATACTTTTGATCTAATAACCAAACTCCTGTGACCTGCAATGCCAAAAATCCTGAAATCAGGAAGGAGAAAAAAGAAGAAGGAACAAGAAAAGGAAGATGGGGTGACACTCAAGAACTTCCATTTTGTCCCATACCTATTACTAAATTCTAAAAACCCCAAATTCCAAACCCATCACCATTTCTGTTCTAACCACACACCAGTGATTTGAACTCCATCACTCAATTTTGGAAACCTTCTCCAAGGCCTCAGGTCAAAAGCAGTGCTCTCCTGGGGGTCAGTGTTAAAAAGCACAGAAAACTCAAAAATTCCAAATTTCTGGGATCCAAAAGAAAGCTTCCAAAACTGAATAACAGAACTGGAATCACTGGTGTGTGGTTTGGATAGAAGTGTGCAATATCACAGGGTGGAAAATTGAGAATTTGGGGTTTAGGAATACAGCAATAAATGGAGGGCAAGATGGAGGTTTGAGGGTGGAGGTTTCTTCCTTCTTCACCTTCTTCTTCAAGGGTCAGGGTGGAACTTTTTAAATTGGATGGAAAATGCCACACTGTGGGTCATGGGTGTTTGGTCATTGGGTCAAAAGTAAAAATAATTTAGGTGTTAGTTCTTAATTGGACAATTAGGCTTTAAAAGACCTTGTAATGAGAGATTTTTGGCCATTTTTAGGTTGTTAGCTACAAGTGCTGCAGCACTCACTGGAATGTAGAGAAGAATTAAAATATCTGAGTCTGAACATGAAATTCTGTCTGTCATGCCATTAATCCCAACCCTGGCAAGAAGAAAAAGATTTAATTGTGATAACACCTGGTCACCCCTCACCTGCCCCCCTGGGGTCCCTGACCAGGGAATGCCAAGGTGGCACCGTGGGGAGCTGGCCCATGGCTCGTGTTAGCTCTGCACACACCAGGGGAGAAAGTGCCACCACCAGAGCCTGGGAGAGCCAGCACAGCACATTCCATTTCAATTCTATCCCAATTCCATCCCCATCCCATCCCAATTCTATCCTCATTCCATCCCAATTCTATCCAAATCCCATCCCAAATTCCATCCCCATTCCAATCCCCATTCTATCCTCATTCCATCCCCATTGCATCCAAATCCCAATCCCATCCCCATCCCATCCCAATTCCATCCAAATTCCATCCCAATTCTATCCAAATCCCATCCCAAATTCTATCCCAATTCCAATCCCCATTCCATCCCCATCCCAATCCCATCCCTCTCTTGGGATCCTGCCTGGAGGTTTCTCTTCCTACAGCTCCTGGCCACAGCCACTTTGTGCTCTCAGTCTCCAGTTAAGGTCAGTGTGTTCTGTGCTCCTGGGGATTTTTTTTTATTTCCCTGCCCTGTGGAAGTGCCTGCTGTCCACAGTGACACTGGGATGGAGACCCCAGAGTGAGGGAACAGCTGGAGCTGGGCCAGGGGATTTGGGATGGGGCTCAGGGAAAGGTTCTTCCCCCTGGCACTGCCCACAGAGCAGTTTGGACACCAGGGATGGAATTTTTGGGGTGTCCTGGCCAGCACCAGGAGCTGATTCCACGATCCTTGTGGGTTTCTTCCCACTCAGGACGTTCCATGACTTTGTAAGAACATCCTTAAATTCATCATAATCAATCCCAGCCCTGGGGAAGGTAAAAGGAACCAGGAGGGTCAGGAGGGCTGGGAGCCAAATCCAGCAGGGTCTGGGGGGTGGAGATCCAGGGCAGAATTTCTTTTCCTTTGTCATGTTATTGGAGTGTGTAATGACATTAAAAACCCATAAATAATGCAGCTCCCCAACAGCTGGGAATGCCCAGGGGAGGCCCAGCTGATGAGGACTGATCTGAAGATGGGATTGTGAATGATTGATCCCAGTTCCCAGCAGCCTGGCACCACCTGCCAGGGTCCCCCAGCAATGGCACTGGAGCAGCCAAAGGGCAGGAAGAGCAGGGAATCTTCTCTTACGTGCATGGAGCCTGTCAGATCTGGGGAAGGGCTTCTTGGCCAGCCCTGGCAGGGAGTTCTCAAGCTTCCCCGAGGGTGAGGAGCTGCAGTTTGGGGGGCTGCTGGAATGTCCAACTGCCTGCTTCCCTTCCCAACCTGCAGGAAAGCAGGAAACACTGCAACACGGGGAGGCACACGGGGATCCTGCAGGGAATGGAGGCTCTGCAGCTCCCAGAGCCACCCCTGCAATCCCAGGACAAACATTCCTGTGCTCCTGGAGTGCCTCCTGCCCAGCAGCTCCATGTGGGAGAGCCCTTGGAGCCACCAGAATATCCCAGAACAAAGGCATGGACAGGCACATCCCAACATTTCCCAGTTAATCCCAATTGCTTGTGGTCCCCAAAGGAAGCTGCAGGAAGGGGCAATTTCCCATCCCATGGATCCCATGATCCCAGGATCCCATGGATCCCATGATCCCATGGATCCCATGATCCCATCCCATGACCCCATGATCCCATTCCACGACCCCATTATCCCATGATCCCACCTCATTACCCCATGATCCCATGGATTCCATTCCATTACCCCATTACTCCATGACCCCATTACCCCATGACCTCATGACCTCATTCCATTACCCCATTACTCCATTATCCCATGATCCCATCCCATTACCCCACGATCCCATGGATCCCATTCATGACCCCATGGCCCCATGACCCCATGATCCCATTCCATGACCCCATTACCCCACGATCCCATGACCTCATGATCTCATCCCATTACCCCATGATCCCATGAATCCCATTCCATTACCCCACTACCCCACAAATCCCATTCCATTACCCCATTATCCCATGACCCCATGGCCCCATGCCAGGGCTCTCTCCCTGTCCCATACCTGACTTGCTGCCTGTGCTGGCCTTGGCCTTGAGCAGGACGTGCTGGCTGGAGGGCAGAGCCATTGCTGGCCCCATTGCTGGCCCCATTGCTGCCCCCATTGCTGCCCTGCACTGCTGCTGCTGCTGCTGCTTCTGCTGCTGCTGCTTCAGGGCCTGCAGGGACACAGAGCACTGGCATCAGCCAGCCCCAGCCTGGGGACACAGCCCTGGCACTGGCATTGGGATGGGGACTGGGATAAAACTGGCAACCCTAAATCCAGCCCAGCCTGGGACACCCCCACGCCTGCTCAGTGTGATTAAACTGTGATTAAACTGTGATTAAACTGTGATTAAACTGTGATTAAACTGTGATTAAACTGTGATTAAACTGTGATTAAAGTGTTCACCCTGCTGTGAACAGACACCTCCCACCTCTGCAGCCACAGGACACTGTCACTGTCACTTGTTGGGAGGATGAGGATTGTGAGGGAGCTCTCACAGATGTGTGTGTGNAAAAGATGTTTTTACCAAGCAAAAAGATTTTCACAGGCAAACAAAAATGCCATGTTGCAGGTAGAAAGAAAGGTCTTAAAATTTCCCACTGCAAGAGAACTGGAAAACAACTTCTAGCTTAAAATGTAACACACTGCCTTTTTGTGACTGGAAAATAGGAACATGACTATGGAAATGTCAGTAGTTATGATGGGCTAGAGGTAATAGTGAAGGTATTGATTGGCTGTCATGTTTTAAGATGCTCTGCAATGAAAAGTAAATAAAGCATTGTAAGCAGAACTAGAGTGGCTTCAGACAAACCCACAGCTGTGGGCTGGGCTCATTTGGATACAGTGAACAGCATTTTAAATAATAAATAAATTGCTGCATCATTTGGATACAATGAACAGCATTTTAAATAATAAATAAATTGCTGCATCATTTGGGTACAATGAATGGCATTTTAAAGAGCCACCTGGAGCCCCACATCCCTCGTTTGGGCTCTTACAGTCCCTGTCCCTGTGTCCCTGTTCCTGTGTCCCTGTCCCTGTGTCCCTGTGTCCCTGTGTCCCTGTCCCCTCCTGTGCTGTCCCATGGATTAAAGCATTTCCAGAGAAGCACAGGGAAGGGACTCCAGGTGTGGAGCTGCCCCAGGAAGTGATCACACACAGAATTTCAGATTTAGCAGCACCCTGGGGCTCACCCCATCTCCCCCAGTGCCATTAGGGACGGGTTTTAATTAGCAGAGTAACGAAGATCCAAAGGCTGGAGAGGACAAACCAAAAAACTTTGGTTCTGGGAAGAGCTGAGGCAGGACAGGGCCCCAGGGGAAGGCAGGGCTGACAGGAGGGGTTTGCTTCAACTGCAAAAACCAAAATCCAAACCCAGCTGGCCTGGGCAGCAGAAACAAGCCAGGAGATCAAGGAGTCCATGGGATTTCAGAAATAAATGAAATAAATGAAATAAAGGCACTGCTGAGGTCCCCAGGAGCTCTGTATCCCAATTCTGCCCCAGGTGATTCCCAGGGAAATGAAATGAAATAAATGCAATAAAATAAATGAAATAAATGAAATAAAGGCAGTGCTGAGGTCCCCAGGAACTCTGGATCCCAATTCTGCCTGGGGTGATTTGCAGGGAATTTTAGGAATGTCAGGAACCCCCAGAACCCCCAGAATCCCCAGGAATCCCAGAATCCCAGCACCCCCAGACCTGTTTGAGAGCCTTCTTGCTGTGTTTCTGGGAGCAGGACAGGCCCTTGCCAGGGATGGACGGGGAGGCACAGCCGGGCTGGGGGGAGCCCGACGGGGCCAGGCGGGACCGCACTGAACAGGAAAGAAACAGAAATGTCGATGTCAATGTCAATGTCCATATAAACATAAATATATAAACATAAATATCAATGTAAATATAAATATAAATATAAATGTACATGTAAATGTAAATATAGATATAAATGTAAACATAAATATACATGTAAAAATAAAAATATAAATATACATGTAGATGTAAATGTAAATATACATGTGAATGTAAGTATAAATAAAAATAAATATATCAATGACTATAAATATAAATATAAATATATATAAATAAAAAAACCAAAAATTAATTTATCAATATGACAATAAATATAGATGGAAATATAAAAATTAAAATAAATATATCAATATTACTATAAAGATAAAAGTTCATATAGACACAAAACATTAATATAAAATATAGATATTGATATAATTAGCAATAGAGCAATAGAGCAATATAGATATTTAAATATAAATATAAATCATATAGACATAATATAGATAGAGATTAGATATAGATATAGATGTAGATATAGACAGAAATATCAATATATCAATATATATTTATAAAATGTTTATATTAATATATGAATATATTTATATCTGTATATAATTATAAAATATTTTCTATTTATATTTTTCTATTTATGCTTATATATTTATAATTATTTATATCTGTCTCTATTTGTATTGATATAGATATAAATATATCAACAAAAATATATAAAAATAGAAATAGAAATGTAGATAGAAATATAAATATCAATATATCAATATTGACATAAAAATACATATAAATATAATTATAAATATATAAATATATAAACAGAAAACATGTTATAAATGTTCATCGATGTAAACATGAATATAAATACTTTATGAACATCAGTGTATATAATCATAAACATATCAATACAACAATACAGATATAAATATAAATATATAAACGTAAATATGTTATCAATAGAAATGTGAATATAGATAGGATAAATATCAATATATCAATATGTCAATAGATATAGATAGATAAAAAATAATTATAAGTATAAATAGGAAAATAGAAAATATTTTATAAACATTCCATAAATATAAATATAAATATATCAATATAAAAATACAGATCTATAAATAGGGCTCTGAGCTCTCCCCGATCCTTCTCTAAAAAACAAAAAAAACCCAAAAAAACCAAAACCAAGCGCAGAGTCAGCAAATTCCGAGAATTCAGGAGGTGACAGAAGCCCCGAGGGATGAGAAGGGGTCGAGGCAGGGCTGGTGGAGGGGTGGCCCTGCCGCGGGGACAATCAAGAGTCACACATCAGGTAATTAATGAACAGCTCCTGAGCACAGAGCACGGACAGGGAGAAAATCTGCTGTGAAATAAAAGAATTGCCTCGAAGTTCCCGAGAATTTCACCAAAACGTTTCCAGGAACTCTTTGGCTGTCGTTAAAAACAAAAATGGGCAGAAGCGCTGCTGGCACAGAGGAGAGGCCCCAGAGCCCAAAATTGTGGCCACACGATTCCCCCGAGGCCGGCCAGGAGGGGAAGCGGCAGCACGGGCTGCAGCAATTCACTGCCGAGGATGAGGAGTTCATTATCTCAGGGAGAGCGCAGGGCACTGCTGTAATTAGCTGTAATTAGCTAATGAGCGATTTTACACGCAGCAAAGCCAGGATGGATGCGGGGATGCAGGGAGCAGCTGGGGAGCTCAGCCCTGCTCCCAGCACTGGGACAGGATGGGAACTGAGAATAAAAATCCCCAAAAACTGAGCTGTCCCCACGCTGGCTCTGTGGATCCCAGTACACCGTGAGGGATCTGAACTGGTCCCAGTCTGCTCCAAATCTCACCAGGCACCTCCTGCACCCCCAGAGCCCCTTCCTCACCCACTGCTCACCCCCTGGATGTGAGGGATGGATCCTGGACCAGCCCTGCTGCAAACCATCAAACCACTGCAACCTCACTGAGTACCACAGTGGTCCGGGTGGGAAGGGACCCAAATCCCCCCCAGTGCCACCCCTGCCATGGCAGGGACACCTCCCAGTGTGCCAGGAATGTCCAGCCTGGCCTTGGGATCCAGGGGCTGTGTCCATGCCCGTGGCTTCACCTGCTCCACCTGTGCAGCTCCAGATGGAAAAGCTGCACTTCACTCATCTGGGCTCAAAGTAAAACCAAGCTGAGCTAAAATTATGAAATCCCCCCTCAACTGTGCAGTCATGAGTTTAAAATATCCTAATTCTAAACAGCTAATGGGATCCAGATGTGTGATATGAAAAACTTGGAGGGAAATCATTAAAACACACTTGGAGGAGCATGGAAATGTCTCAGGTTAATCACAGAAGCCTGGAATGGTTTGGGGTGGAAGGGACCTTGGCAGTGCCACCCCTGCCATGGCAGGGACACCTCCCACTGCCCCAGGCTGCTCCAAGCAAGGCACAGGACACAGGGAATGGCTTTAAGCTGGAAAAGGGTGGATTTAGATGGGATCTTGGGCAGGAATTGTTCCCTGGCAGGGTGGGCAGGGCTGGCACAGGGTGCCCAGAGTGCCCCTGGATCCCTGGGAATGTCCCAGGCCAGGCTGGACATTCCTGGCACACTGGGAGGTGCTGGGGTTGGAATGAAATGATCTTTAATTCCCTGCCCAGCCAAGGCAGTGTGGGATCTCAGGCTCTGTGGGAGCAGACCAGGGGAGATGCTCTGGGGAGCAGCACAAACCCAGCACGGGCAGGTCTGGGAGGCTCCCCCTGGCCATGGCTCAACAGCAGCAACACCAAAGCACCAGAGAGAGAAAAGAGAGAACGCCCTGTGCTGACAGAGCTGCTCCTGTGCCTGGTCAGGACATTCCTGGCACCTCTCAGGTGGAAAAAGCACAGCAGCAATCCCAGCACTCCGAGCTGCTCCAGAAGCCAAAACCTTCCCTGGTGCTGCCAGGAGGGAAATGTGAAGGGAGCCTGAGCTGCAGTGACTGCACCACTGCCATGGGAGTGAGAACACACCAAAGAGAATTCGGGTTTTAATTAATTAAAAATAAAAATAAATTGAATTAAAATTAATTAATTTAATTAATCCCGTGTTTGCTCTGGAGCAGGAACCCCCGGAGTGTGCCCTGGAATGCCCCGAGTGTGAAAGCCCCGTGTGTGACAGTGCAGATCCCTCTGCTGCTCCTCCCAGTTCTCCAGAACAAACTCTTCTCTTTTTCAGTGTCCCCGTGGCTGGCTGGGACACCACATGTGCTGAAGTCACGTCTGTCCCTGAGCCACAGCCAGCCCCGAGCACAGAGAGTCCCTCAAAGCTCAGCAAACCCCAAATCACCAAATCCCAGAGCTCAGAGCCCCTGCAGTGCCACCCTGCCATGGCAGGGACACCTCCCACTGTCCCAGGTGTCCTCCAGGCCTGTCCAGCCTGGCCCTGGGCACTGCCAGGGATGAGCTGAGACTGAATTCAGCTCCTTCTTCACCACTGAGGGATGAGTTTGGAGCTGCCACTGTCAGAGCCCACCCAGAGCAGCAGCTCCAGCTCTTCCTGATGTGCTCAGGAGCAGCTCATGGAGCTCCCACCCTGCACTGATTTCCAGGAACTTGCATTAAAACCCCCTGGCAAGCCCAGAAACTTTCAATTTGATTTTTTTTTTTTTTTTAATTTAACAGCTGTGCAGCTGTTATGTAAAGCAGAAGCCTGATGTACAAACTACATCATATAAATATGCAGAGAAATGCAGAATGCTCAGGGTGGGACATGAGGAATCCTCAGAACCATCGGTGGGGGTTGCAGGATTTGCCCTGAGTGACCCAAAACATCCGGGGGGAGGTCGGGCTGTGCTGCCAGGGAACAGGGACAGGACAAGGGCAAATGGCCTCAGGCTGGGCCAGGGCAGGCTCAGCTTGGACAGCAGCAGCAATTTCTCCATGGAAAGGGTGCTCAGGCCTTGGCAGGGGCTGCCCAGGGAGCTTTGCAGTGCCCATCCCTGGAGGTGTCACCTGGATGTGACACCCAGAGCTCTGGGCTGGGCACAAGGAGGGGATCAGGCACAGCTTGGGCTGGATGGGCAGAAGAGAAGAAGCTCCATGAACTAAAAAAGGGGAAAAGGACATTTCTGGGCATGCAGATCCCTGCTGAATTGCACAAGGGGATCCTCAGGAAGCAGCTTCCCCCCAGTCACATGCAGGAATTGCTGCTTTTAGAAAAGCTGATATTTCCACCCAGTCCTCAGCAGGAAGAAGCAAAGTGTCAGAACCCAAACAAAACCCCGTTTTTGTCTCTTGTCCCTGACCCTTGGAGGACACCAAGCTGCCCCAGCAGAGCAGGTGCCACCCCCCAGCTGTGACCTGGCACTTCCCTGGCTCCCAGGGATGATGCAGAAATCTCCAGTTCAGAGCAGTTTCATCCCTAATTCCCATTTTGCCGAGCACAGGGCCCTGCAGGGAGCACAGAGCAGCTGCAGGTGCTTCCCTTCCCTGCCCCACTCCAGAGCTCTTGCTCTGACCGATTTTATCCTCACCCAAACCTTCCCACGTGTTTTCAGTACCTGAACTTTTACAGACACTGAACACAGAGATTTTGGACGCTGAGCTGGTCAAACAAAACTCTGGGAGCCAGGAGGGATCCTCAGATGTACAAAAATTCAGCTGATCCCTGGCTGGTGGAGAAGGATTAGCCATCACCTGCCTTGCTCCTTTTCCCCTTTTCCCTTAAGGTTGGCTTTAAAATATCATTTTTTCCCCCCATATTTTTCCTTTTTAACACAGAAACTCGGGTTGGTTTTGCTGGGGGAGCCCCAGGACTGCAGCTGTGCTCCATGAGCACCACAACCTCCTGCACAACACCAAGAGCTTCCAGGATGGTTCCAAACATCACAGAACCCCAGGATCCCCCAGCAGCCCTGGAGAATCATGGAATTGTTTGGGCTGCAAAAGCCTTTGGAGAGCAGGGAGACCCAGCCCTGCCCAGGCCACCACTGAGCCCTGTCCCCATCTTTAAATCCCCGCAGGGATGGGCACTCCATGAGCACCTTTTCCATCAAGGGATTGTCCCCAACGTCCCAAATTTACTCCCTGTGATGAGCTGAGGCAGTTCCATCCCAAATGCCTTTTTTTAATCCCAGAAAAACCTGTTTTTATCACCAAACTCAGGGAAGCAGCTGCTTCACCTGCAGGTGAGACAGGACACGGGCTCTGTGTCACCCCCATGGCCACTGAGAGGCCCCAAAAGGGACACCTGGGCCCCAAATTCCTGCCTTACCTGCACGGGGCAGTGCCTGGAGCTGCTCCACGAGCATTCCTGCTGGGCCCATGGGGCTCTGCACAGGCACTGGGGCTGTGTCCTCCCTCCCAAAATCCAACCCTGCAGAGTGCAGGCAGCACGTGTGTCTGTGCACACAGAGGGAAGTGGCTGCTGATGGCACCCAGACAACATTTCCTGTTTTACTGGGGATGAGCACAGCCCTGGCACGGAGCTCCTGCCTGCCCCATTCCCTCCTGGCACAACCAAACCCTGCAGGAAGAACCAGCTGTGCCCTGGATTCCCCCAAAAAAAAACCCAGAAAAAACCCTGGGGATGTGCTGGATCCCAAAGAGGGACAGCCCTGCAGTGGGATATTCTCCAGCTCCTCCCTGAGATTTAGGATTTTGTCAATGGGGAAAGAGGTTTTTGTGTGTGCCATGACCCTGCATTCCAGGGCTGCTGCTCCACAGCTCCAGAGGAATCCTCCTCGATGGTTAAAAAATGCAAACAAATGGACAAAAGTGGAAAGAAAACCAGCAGGAAAAGGAAAAGGCTGAGGGGAAGCTTCAGGATCTCAGCCCTGCCTGTCCTGGTGCCCCAAAGTCAGGATTGGGGCTGGGATGGGCACTGCCAGATTCCCTCATTTCCACTTCCAGCCCTCCCTGACTGCAGCACAGGGCCATGGACCATGGCTGGGGTGGAGCTGAGCCCTTTTTCTGATCCAGTCCAGCCCTTCATGCTCCTGCTGGGTGTTAAATGTTACTTTTTATAAGTAGCAAGATCATCAAGCTGCAGCGTTTGCTGGAGGACATGGAAAGAACCTTCCAGAGGAAAGAAGGAAATGAAATATTGAATATGAAATTAAACCCTCCCTGCAGATTTCATGGAATCCCAGGCTGGTTTGGGATGGGATTTCCCTGTGCCAGTGTGCTCCAGCCCCAGTGTCCAGCACAACTCTTTAATCCAGGGCTGCAGCTGCTCCAGGACAGAGAAACGGGGACAGCACTTGGTGAAAATGACCCCAAAATGTCACTGAGTGCCTGGAGAAGGTGATTCACAGAGATCTGAATCTACAAATGCTTCAGGCAGAGATTGTTTGAGCTTTACAGAATCCCAAAAAACTTGAGGCTGGAAAAGCCCTCCCAGCCCCCCTTTTTGGTATTTATACTTTCAAATTGTCTTGTTTTGGGTACTTCTCACAGCTGTTCCATCCTATCCCATTCCATTCCATCCCATTCCATGTTACAATTCCACTCACCTGGGTTCCTCCTGCCTTTCCAGCCCTTTGGTTATGTGATGTATAAAACTTTTATCTCAAATCTCTACATAAAGATTTCTCTATATACATAAAATAAAATATAAATAATTCCCTCACAGGCTTTTACCTAACATTGGAACATTGGAAATACAAGAAAAGTAGCCAGAATCTCCCTTATTGACCAAATATTTCGAGAGGATTTGTTAAAAATGAAAATATTTCAACCAGACTTTCTCCAGCTTTCCTGTCAGAGGATGGATTTGGAGCCAAGTTGGATTTCTGAGGATCTTGTAACATTTTGCACTTTCTTGGTGCTTTCATTGCTTTCAGGTGCACAGAGCAGAGTCTGCAGGGCAGGGCTGGCTGGGGCTGGCCCAGGTGACCCCCCTGGGACAGCTCTGGGACCTCTCAACCTCACCCAGCAGTGCCAGGACACTGCAAACACCTTTTAAATCATGTCTTGTGTGCATGAGTGAGGGGAGCAGGAAGAAGGAAAAGAGTGGATTAAGGATAAACATTAATCAAAAGAAATTAAAAATCCAAATATTGAGGGAGAGGAACCTCAGAGTCAAACCCTCCAGGACCCAGGGATGCAGGGATGGGAAGCAAAGCCTGGGACGTGCCAGAGCACACCTGGCACAGGTACCCAGCCCTTCCCTGCCCACCCTGGGGCACCCACACGTGCAGGAGGAGCCCAGGGCAGCTGGGGCTGCTCTGAGATTGCTGCCTGAGCCCTGGAGCAGGACAGGAACTCACCTTTCCTTTTCCACCTGCTCTTCTTGCCCTCCTTGGTGGCGCAGCCGTCGCTGCTGGAGCTGCTGTGCTCGGAGCTCTGCGAGTCTGAGTGGCCATCACTGCTCTCCTCAGAGCCCTCTGACAGCTCCTTCAGCCCATCTGGGATGTCCTTCTGCCAGGGGACACGACAGAGCCACAGCACGGTCAGCCAGGTGACAGGGACAGCCCCAGGGACAGCCCCAAGCAATCCCCTAAACCCCCCAGGCACCAGCCCCGACCCTTTAATGCCCCTCAGCTCCTCCAGTGCTGGCCCCAAAGCTCCTGTGAGCCCCTGGAAATGCTGGATGGAGGTGACAAACCCTGAGCTCTGTCCCCACTGTGATTCCTCAGCTGCCCTTCCTGAATTCCCTGATCACCAAATTAAACACAAGGGATGGAGGGACAGGACACAGGGAATGGCTGCCAGTGCCCCAGGGCAGGGCTGGATGGGATCTTGGGCAGGAATTGTTCCCTGGCAGGGTGGGCAGGGCTGGCACAGGGTGCCCAGAGCAGCTGTGGCTGCCCCTGGATCCCTGGCAGTGCCCAAGGCCAGGCTGGACATTCCTGGCACACTGGGAGGTGTCCCTGCCATGGCAGGGGTGGCTCTGGGTGGCTCCAGAGACAAATCCACAGCAATCAGGGATGGTGGGAGCCAGCTTCTTTCTAATATTTAAAACACAGCCCATTTTTAGAGAAGCCAACCAGACAATTCCCCATTATCCCCTGCCTGAGGACAAGGTGATTTTTCATCTCCAGACACAAGCTGAGAGCAGTGAAGTCACCCTCTCACATGAACATTTTAATGACTCAGGGACAGTAATTACCATCAGCAAAGTGCACTGTGGGTAAAGAGCAGCACCTGCAGCCGGGCAGGGAGGGATCAGCTCCTGGATCATTGGGACACCTGCAGCCATTTCCCCATGGGAAGGGTGCCCAGGGAGCTGTGGGGTGCCCACCCCTGCAGGTGCCCAAGGAACTCCTGGACTCCAGGACCCCTTTGGGATTTTCCAGCCTCAGGGACTGTGGGATCCCAACCCAACCCTTTTGGCAGCAGTGCCCTGAGCCCTGGCACTCACCTTGAGGGTGTAGACACCCATCCGTCCTGGCACCTTGTAGAAGATGCCCTCCTCACCCCGGGAGTTGGTGTGCAGCATGGCATTCAGGCAGGCCAGGGGGGATGTCCCACTGCAGAGAGACCCCCAGAGTGTCCCCGTGCTGCTGGGGAGCCCCCCACAGCCCCCAGGACCCCCCACCCAAATCCCATTCCTAAAGGGAACAGGGACCCCCCACCCAAATCCCATTCCTAAAGGGAACACAGAGCCCCTCAGAGCCCCCAGGGACCCCACACTCAAATCCCATTCCTAAAGGGAACACAGAGCACCCCAGGGACCCCACACCCAAATCCCATTCCTAAAGGGAACACAGAGCCCCTCAGAGCCCCCAGGGACCCCACACTCAAATCCCATTCCTAAAGGGAACACAGAGCACCCCAGGGACCCCACACCCAAACCCCCTTCCCAAGGGGTTGAAGCTGCCCCAAGAAGCAGCCCATGGATGCTGCAATCCCAGGAAAAATCAAACAACCCCCCCCATACTCAGGTTCTCCCAAATCTCTCTGCCAAACATCAAAACTGGGCACAGGAACCTTCCAAGCTCTGGGTGAGCTGGGGATGGGCTCCAGAGGGATTCAAGGTTGTGTTGGGGTTTTTTTCCCCAAAAAGAACCCGTGCTGTGCTGGCACAAGGGTTCTGGGGCAACAAATGGGAACAAATTGTGCAATTCCCCCAGGGAAGGGGCAGCTCTCCAACCCCAGCCAGGACACTGGGGACAGATCCAGCTTTTCACCGTGCTGGAGGGGGTTTGTTTGGTTTTGTTTGGTTTTGTTTGGTTTTTGTTTGGTTTTGTTTGGTTTTGTTTGGTTTTTGTTTGGTTTTGTTTGGTTTTTGTTTGGTTTTGAACCCATCCTGCTGCAGACAGGAGCAGACCCAGCTGTGTCCCCAGGGACAGGGTCACAGCCTGTGCCACCCTGGTGGCCACCACGAGGGGACCCTGCACAGAGCTGAGGGACAATTCCTCACATCCCAAAGCCCAGGTGTGCCAGAGGCCAGTGGCCCCTGGGCTGTGCCAGCTGTGGGGTGGCAGCAGGGCCAGGGCAGTGCCTGTCCCCTGTGCTGGCACTGCTGGGGCACCTCCAGTGCTGGGGGCAGCTCTGGGCCCCTCCTGACAGGAGAGCCCTGGAGGGGCTGGAGGTGTCCAGGGAAGGGAACGGAGCTGGGCAGG